TAGAATGTTTTTAGCTACACACCACAATCAACAGACACACACACATTGATTTTCTTCATGTTTTGACTACTGCCATGGTCAGCTGCAAAGCTGGCATCGGGACACGTCACGGTTTGGCGTTCCTGTTAGTATGGGGCTAGCCCAACCTAAGTGATATAATGTATAGGCCTGTTGGGTTTGGGGTCTTTCATCTTTCAGCTGCCTGCGTGCATGTTGGAGGTGCAAGATACCTGAGCGTGTAATGTTAATTTTTACCTGTGTTCATTGAATAAATCAGCACTGTTTTGAAGTTACTTGGACTGCTTCGTCTCTCAGGGTTAGCATGGTTAAAAGTACCGGGTACAACAGAGAGGAGGTGGAATCTGCTTCTACATAAATGAAGGTTGATGCACAGATGTCACAGTGCTACAGAGGACATGTACCGCAGACCTAGAGACTCTTGTTATCAACTGCAAACCCTTTTACTCCCCCTGTGAATTCAACAGTTTCATCCTAATGGGAGTGTACATAACACCGCAGGCTAACGCTAGGGTACTACGGCTCCTAGCAGAACTGGTAACTAGCCTGGAGCTAGAACATCCTCGACTCTCCACTCATTCATTGTTCTAAGGGACTTTTAACAGAGCAAATCTCACCCACGAACTGCCCAAATACAGGCAGCACGTCACCTGTCCCACCAGGGACAAAGTCACACTGGACCACTGCTACACAGCAATAAAAGACGCCTATCACTCTGTCCCCCGCGCAGCCCTCGGACTCTCTGATCACTGTATGGTCCATCTTATTCCAACCTGCAGGCAGAAATTTAAAACTGCGAAGCCTGTAGTCAAAACAGTGAAAAGCTGGACCGAGGAGGCTATGTCAGAGCTACAGGCCTGCTTTGACTGCACAGACTGGAGTGTATTTGAGACTGCAGCTACAGACCTGGATGAACTCACTGACACTGTGACATCTTATATCAGTTTCTGTGAGGATGTGTGTGTGCCCAAAAAGACCTTCTGCACATACAAAATCAACAAGCCCTGGTTTACAGCAAGACTGAAGCAGCTTCGTCGTGCCAAAAAGGAGACTTACAGAAGTGGGGACAGGACTCTGTACAGCCAGGCAAGGAACACACTGACAAGGGAGATCACAGCAGCAAAGAGGGGCTACTCTGAAAAGCTGAAAGTTCAGGTTTCAGCCAACGACCCCTCGGCTGTGGGGCGGACGCGG